CTGCAATTGAGAGGAGGACGAAGTCATCGAGGGGGAGGCGCGGGGAGAGAGGAGGGTGGAGAACAAGAAAGGGGAGGAGGAACAGGAGGAGGAGGAGCAGCAGCAGCAGCAGAAGCAGCAGAACAAGGGGCGCGTCTGTGGAGTCGCAGCAGCCGCTGCAGCCGCTGCCCCCTGCCTCATTCTCCTCCTCCCCTCCCTGCCTCCTGCACCTCCCCATGCCGACGCCCCTCCCGATCCTCATTCGCATCCCTCTCCCGTCCTGCTCCTCATGCTATCTCCCTCCTCCTCCTCCTACATCTCATCCTACTCCTCCCTCCTCCTCCTCCTCCTCCCATCCCCAATGCTCCTCCACCTTTCCTCCTCTCACCTCTGCCCCTCCCTGCCTCGGCGAATCCCTTCACCCACCTCCGACTTTCTTGCCAAAACCAAACCTGGCGTCAGCCGAGATGCCCGGATGGGTGGCGGCTCGCGGCGCCCCCACCCCCCCCTTCCTCTCCCCCCCACCCCCGCCCCCCCCCCCCCCTCGCCTCCCCCCCAACCCCCCCGGGCGCCCCGATCGGGATGCTTGCCTCCCCCCCTCCCCCCCCCCGACCCGCCTCGCGACATCGCCATGCGAGGCGCTCCAGAGTTCGAAGCAACCGGGGCCTTCTGCCCCCCCCCCCCAGACCCGCCTCGCGACACCACCATGTGGGGCGCTCCAGAACTCGAGGCAACGGCGGCCCTCGAGGCAGCGGTACCGGCGGCCATCGAGGCAGTGGCGGCATGCCGGCGCGCTTGCATACAGAATTCCACTTTTCACTCTTTTCTTGGCCTTCGTTTCACATACATATATATATATATATGTATGTATATATATATATATATATATATATATATAAAAACAGATCACTGCCGACGCGCCGCCTAGGCGCGGCTTCTTCAGTCAGTCAGTGGAGGTTTCTCGTCGAGGCAGCTGGATGCGCCCCGAGTAGTGGGTCTGGATGGACTTCAGGATGGGTCCAGGAACCAGGCGGGGGAGCCTCAGTTGTCTCAACTGGCCCTCCTCTGAAGGAGCGGCCTTGCCTTTGAGGAGTGGAGAGGTCGACCTTCTTCCGCGGCGGAAAGCGGCGGAAGGCAGAAGTGAAACAAGGCGGAAGCCTACGGAAAGCCCGCGGAAGCTGGCGGAAGTAAGAGATGTGCCCCCAAGAGATGACAGCATGTTTGAATCAGGATTTCCGGAACTAGCTGCTGCCTGGGGCTGCTCTTGGGGTCCTGTTGAGAGCGTCCCTGGCCCCTGTTGAGAGCGTCATGGGACCCTGTTGGGAGAGCGGGGCGCAGCGCAAGGCCCCGCATTCCCTGAGATCGGACCGCACGATAACATTGCAGCATCGTAAAGCAGCTCGACCTGAGCCCTGGACCCCAACTTGCTGCGCGGTTTTTCGAGCCCGATCGATGCGTGAGCGTCCCGGGGCCCGAATCAGGGCAGCATGGCTCGATGTGACAAAGGTGCGACGCCGAGATCCCAGGGTTGGGGCAATGTCGTGCGTAACCATGTTTGGGCGTTCCTGGGCGCCCTGCCACACGCAATCTTCTGGTGGCTTTGCGCTGTTTTTCTGGCTGGCTCCCCGTGCCTCCGCTCCTCCTCTTCCCTTCTGCTCCACCTTCTTCGCCACACGCCTCGCCCTTGCCTGTCCTGTATGTATGGTATTTCCCTCTGGCCCTTGTGTTCGTGATATGCATGCGTTTGCTATGTTGTTTTGTTTCTCTCTCTCTCTCTCTCTCTCTCTCTATATATATCATTATCTCCCTCTCGATGCCCAGATGCTAGGAGGAGATGGAGGAGGATGGGGAGGTGGAGGATAGCGGAGAGGAAAGGAGAGGAGAGGAGAGCAGAGGGAGAAGGAGGAGGAGGTGGAGGAGGGAGGGAGAAGGAGGAGGAGGACGTGGAGGAGGAGGAGTCCGTTCGGCAAAGCGCCAAAGGCCGCTCAAGGCGGGCCGAGCGCTCGCTCGGCGCCCAGCCCACACGGCCCGCCCAAGAGGGCTCACCGCGGGGAGGGCGTGCAGGCGCGGGCAGAGCTCCACCCTGGGCTCGGGCTCGGGCCTGGGCTCTGGGCTCGGGAGGGTGAAGCTCGCATGGGGGCGGCCAAGACGAGCCCACAAGAAACCCAGCGCCGAAAGCCCAGCCCTGAAGATCGCCAAGGTTTCTGTCTGGCCAGGGCTCACGACGGGTAGGGCGCACAAGCGCAAACACAGCTTCAAGAGAAGGTGAAGCTCGTATGGATAAGGCCAAGACGCATCCACACCAAACCCATCGCAGGAAGCCCAACCCTGAAGGCCGCCGAGGTCTTGAGCTGGCCAGGGTCGGGCTTCTTGCCCAGCGGCTGCTAACGAAGGAGCTCAGAGTACTCTGATTCGGGCGTTTTCTTGATGGCTCGCGCAAAGCGTATCAGCGTCAAGAAACTCAGGGTGCTCTGCCGGCTGCGGTTTCTTCGCGACCACCGCAAGCCGTCAATCCGACCACCAAGCAAAGAAACCCAATGTACCCTGGCAACGCGTGTGGCGTGTCTTGGCATGGACCCCCGATGTATGGAAGATGGGTCGCGTGTCCATCGAAGTGAAGCCAGTGCACTTCCGTGCCCACGACCCGGAGCCTCCTGTTGCCAAAGATGTTCCCATGGCGCTTCAGGTCCGCAGGGTGACGATTCGTGTCCAACCTGTGGGTTCCTCGTCGTCCAGGTATCGGGTCGTACTCAAGGTCTCTGGCGGCCGTTCGGGACGATTCGAGCACCCCCAGAACGCCCTCGGCGAGGCGCAGTCGCTAGAAGGCATCCCCAGGCTGAAAAAACGCCGAGAACCAACGAATATGCGCGAAAACCTCGAACCTCGAGCCTCGAACGTCGAAATTGGTGCGAAGTTGGTCGCAGAGAGTCACAACAGCTTCAGCAAGACCTCGTGGAGGCACCCCGTTTGCTGTGGCGCGACGGGGGGCAAGGATCGACGCAGTCGTCGTATGCGTCGCCATAATTACGTGGTTGTACGCAAATACCTTACAGCAAACGAGGGTGGGGGGATCTCCCTGCGGCTGTGACAAGGGTAATCGTCCAGCGATGGGCTTCCACAACTACGAATTATCGGTAGCCCATAGACACGGAACAAGTTTCCATATTTCGAGGGGGCGAATTCCGGGAGACCGGGGCCTCGGGAGGGCTCCGGACGACACTAGAGTCCACACCCGAGGCCAGGTTGCCAATCATTTGCTTCATCTTATTACCGAAATATCGAAACAGATAGCCGGGCGGCAGCCGTGAAAGGCCCCCCGTTTGCTGTGGGGCGACGGGGGGCAGGGATCGAGTAGGGCAGAGACCATGCCCTGCGAAATCGCCCCGCACGCCAGGCAGATCGCAACACCGCCTGGAGCCACGAACAGCTCGGGGCCGCGCGCTCCGAAACGGCTGCAAGAAACATCCAAGACGGCCCATGTCACCCCCAACACGAAGGCACGGCGTCCAAGAGTGGCCGAAGACGGACAGCCGAGGCGCCGGGCTCGGTCTCCGAAGGCGCCCGACGGGCCTGCAAGTCGCGTGCTGCAATCTGTGTGGCGCAGCGTGTTTTTGCGCAGTGTGATGTGGTTAGATTTGTGTGGTGAAGATTCAGCGCGTGCCTGGCCGCACTGCAGCCTCGCTGGGCCGCTCTCGCGCGGTGGCGGGTACGCGCGGCAGCGCAACTGGAAACGGCAACGTTGCGTGGAGCCGCGACAAGTTCGGGGCATCGAGCGCTGTTAGGAGGAATGCGGCCAGCTTCGGGAAGCCGAAGTTGGGGTCGAGCTCGGGGCACACGACCCGCCGCGAGGTCCCAGGACCCTGCTTTGCTCGGGCGACGGCTTCCCCAGGTACTCCCTACCATCTCCAGCAGGAGGGGGAGGAGGAGGCGGAGGAGGACGCGGAGAGAGCAAGGCGCACCTGCAGCACGCCAATGACCTCGTCCGGCGCCCCGTGGGCGCGAGGAGCGAAACGGATCCGAGGTCCGCGGTCGCTCGGAAGGGGGCCCGACACATGAGCTCTAACGACCCTCGGAGGAGAAGAGGGCCCACGAGGAGGGCCCAGAGGTCCAAGGTTCCAACGACAACGGGAGCGGCAAACTTGTGGCTATCTTTGGCCTCCGGGCGCACCACTCAGCGGGCCTGGGACTGTAGCGAAAACGACCCAGGATGAGAACCCGGCCGCAGGGAAGTTGCCCAGGCCTCCGGGGGTCCACGCATCGAAGCAAATGCTGCCCCAGATGTCTGGGGGGAGGGCGATCGGTGCCTCGTCCGATTGGCGGGGGCCGACACCTGCGGTGACGCATTCCTGACATACGGCGGGTTCCAGAAATCCAGAACCCAAAACGGCATGAAAATAAACTTTTAGCGATCCGCGCGTATTCTTCGATCTGCGCTGAACCCCTGGCGCGCGGAGCGCGCCAGGGGCGGCGACGGAGGCGCCGCCGGAGGGGCCCATACGTCGATCCAAGAAATCTGCGCGGAGCGCCGAAAAGTTTATGTTTATGGCGTTGTTTCTCTTCGATTGGGGACACATCTTCGCCTTCCGCCGACTTCCGCTGGCTTCCGACGGCTGAGGTAGCGCACCCTCTGCTGACGTCCGCCGCCTTGCGCCGAGGAAGATATGCCAACGCCTTCGGTCCTCGAAGGCGCGACTCGGGCCGATCCGTCGCCGCCAATTGTCGGAGTCGCGAGGAGGAAGGAGGAGGAGGAGGAGGAGGAGGAGGAGGAGGAGGAGGAGAAGGAGAAGGAGGAGGAGGAGGAGGAGGAGGAGGAGGATCTGGGGGGGAGGCGGAGGGGGGTGAGACCGACGAGGTGCGCTGCAACATGATGTGACGACTTACTGTCTTTTCTAACGGCGTCTCTCGCACCGGCTTGGCAGACGTGAGCCCAACCAGTGAGACGCGTTTGGCTCCCAATTGCGATACCTGCCCACACTGCTCGCACGAGCTGACACAAGAACTGTAGCACATAAGGTCTGGAGTCAAACTCGATTCAAGCAATTGGCCCAACAGCGCCAATGCGTGCCTCCATTGGCCGCCCTCGCCGCACGCGGCGATTCCAGAAGTGCAGCTGATAACGTCCAGCTCCAGCCTCGACTCCAGCAGACCGCTGAGCAGAGACAGCGCCTGTCGCCAGCGCCCGGCGTTGCCACACGCGCTGACTCCAGCACCATAGCTGAGGTCGGCGACGAGGGAAAGGGTCCGAGTGGGCGGGCCCACGCCACCATTCCAGCGAAGGCCGACAAGCGGCCCAGGCGTGTATTGTCGGAGGTCCGCGCGGACTTCCTTGTCGTAGCTGGGCCCCCACCCTGGACCGCCTCGAACGCCAAAAGGGCGGATTCCAGCGCGGACCCGACAAATCCGCGTGGACCTCCTTCAATTCACTGTTTGTTCAATTCTCCTTTGACCACTCCACCCTTCCAAGGGCCGGTGTCTTTCCTAGAGGTTTCTCGTAGTGTATGGACATTACATTAACGACGTCCCTGAGAGTTCATGGAAGCAGGCCTGACTCTCACAAGCGCGGACCTTCTCAGTGGGCTCGCCGACCTCATCCCTCCTCCCCCTTCCCCTGCTCCTCCTCCTCCCCTTCCTTCGCCTCCTCCTCATCCTCCTCCTCCTCGAGCCTCCTCGAGCCTCCTCGAGCCTCCTCGAGCCTCCTCGAGCCTCCTCCTCCTCCTCCTCCTCCTCCTCCTCCTCCTCCATCCCCTTCCAGGGAATGAAAAGATTTCAGGGTTGAGGAGGCCCCGTCCCTCATCGCCTTGAACACATCTGGCTCGGACCTCGCCTCCGACATCTCGCTCAACAGCGACACTGCGCGCTGCCACTGCCCGCTGCTCCCGCAGGCGATGACCGCAGCATTGTGTGCGAAGCTGGCGGGCTCCAGCCTCGCCCGCAACACCTCGCTCAGCAACGACAGCGCCTGCAGCAGGGGGAGGAGGAGGGGTGGGTGGGGATGGGCCCTCCTCGCGCGCCCCTGCCGGGGAAACACTACGTCCCCGCTCAGCTCTCAGCGAGGAACCTTCTTTTGCTCCTCTACGATGGCGGAGGAGGGAGGAGGAGGAGGAAGGAGGGAGGAGGGAGGAGGAGGAAGGAGGGAGGAGGAGGAAGGAGTGGGAGGAGTGGGAGGAGGAGGAGGAGGAGGAGGAGGAGGAGGATGGAGGAGGGAGGAGGGAAGGAGAGGAGGAGGGGGAGGAGGAGGAAGGAGGAGGAGGAGGAGGAGGAGGAGGAGGCAGGCGGAGGAGGAGGAGAAGGAGGAGGAGGCGGAGGAGGAGAGAGGAGGAGGAGGAGAGGAGGAGGAGGAGGAAGGGAGGCGGAGGAGGAGAATCGCATCGCTCGGACGTCCATTCCCTGTGGTGTTTTTTCGGTTTTCTGTTGCGTGTATTTCGCAAATGATCGAGAGGATGCTCCTCGATGGTCCTCGCCAAAGAAAAAAATGCACACGCCCGGCGATGCCGAGGAGGAAAGAGGAGGAGGAGGAGGAGGAGGAGGAGGAGGAGGAGGAAAAGGAGGAGAGGAGGAGAGGATGAGGAAAGGAGGAGGAGGAGGGAGGGAGGAGGGAGGGAGGGAGGGAGGGGTATGGGCGACGAGGAGGGGATACCGGTATCCAACTTCATATCCATCCTCTCTCCTTCTCTTCCTCCTCCTCCTCCTGGTTGCCTGGGTTTTGGATTCCTGGTTGCCTGGATTGCGCGGTTTTCGAATTCCTGGTTGCCTGGATTGCGCGGTTTTCGAATTCCTGGTTGCCTGGGTTTCGGATTCCCCGGCCCCTGGGAATTTTGAAAATTTCGAAATTTTCGAAATTTTCGAAATTTTCAAAGTGTTTGGAATTTTCGAAATTTTCAAAAAAAAAAACGAAATTTTCAAACTTCCAAGGGGTTCGGGTTTTCTGGGATCCTGGTCGCGTGGCTTCTCGGAGGAGGGGGGGGAGGAGGAGGAGGAGGAGGAGGAGGAGGAGGAGGACGCCCTCGCAGCGGGCCGTCTTGGGATGATTTTTGGACTTGGCGTAGAGTGTGGAGTTTTCGGGCAGTGGAATCGCGGACGCCTCTCGAGGAGATCTCAGGGATGTCGGGATTCCTTGCGCGGTTTTCGAATTCCTGGTTGCCTGGGTTTCGGATTCCCCGGCCCCTGGGAATTTTGAAAATTTCGAAATTTTCGAAATTTTCGAAATTTTCAAAGTGTTTGGAATTTTCGAAATTTTCGAAAAAAAACGAAATTTTCAAACTTCCAGGGGTTCGGGTTTTCTGGGATCCTGGTCGCGTGGCTTCTCGGATTCCCCGACCAATTGGAATTTTGAAAATTACAAAATTTTTGAAATTTTCGAAATTTTCAAAGTGTTTGGAATTTTCGAAATTTTCGAAAAAAATCGAAATTTTCAAAGTTCCAGGGGGTTCTGGTTTTCGGGGATCCTGGTCGCGTGGCTTCTCGGAGGAGAGGGGGAGGAGGGGGAGGAGGAGGAGGAGGAGGAGGAGGAGGACGCTCTCGCAGCGGGCCGTCTTGGGATGATTTTTGGAGTCTCTTGGGCTGTTTTGGGCAGTTCTTGGCTTCAAAAGGTGAGAATCCGAAAACCCTTCCAAAACCATAGAAACATAACTCACCTCTCTCGCCCGAGCTGCAGGACCCGATTTTGCATCTTTGGGCCATTGGTGTAGAGTGTGGAGTTTTCGGCCGAGGCTCCTATGGCCCAGGGTTTTTCACCCCCCCGCGGCGGCTAAAACGCGCAAGCGCGCACTTTTCGGTAAAAAGTGTTTCGGTGCGTGGCCGAAGTTTTTGATGGTTCTGGAGGTCTCTTGAGGGCTTCCTTGGGGAGCTCCGAGGGCACGTGGGGCCGTCCTGGGGCGGTATTGAGAGCTCTTGGGTGCATATTGATAGCCATCTTGAACCATATTGGGCTATCTTGCACGATCTTGGAGGTCATCTTGGACTCTCTGAGGCCCTCTGGGAGCCATCTTGGGCCATCTTGGGCGCCCTGACCCCTCGCGGCACCCTCCCTCCAGGCCCAGAGGGGGGGGGGGTAGGGGGGGGACCCCCTCCCCGAAGGGGAAGAAGGGGGTTTAGCAGAACAGGCTCTTTAGACCACTCACGCCCTAAAGGGCTGGTGGGGTTCACTTGTACTTTTCAGTATAGCAGATCACAACGCGGCACATCGTATGTCTCATGGCACGGCAGTGCATATCATAGCGTACTGCATCGCCGAGCAGACATCGTCACATGCGATAGTATGTCATGACATAACACAATATTGACATAGCATTGATTCTGCATTGTCTTTGTGTTGACTTGAACTTGTATTCAGTCGTGGCTCGGACCCAGCCTCGCTGGCCTGGCCACAGCCAGCACCGCCCCGCCAGCGCGGCCAAGCCGTGCATGGCTTTTCGCTTCGAGGGGCCCGATGGGCCCTTCCCGCTGTGCCAGCTGCTGGCGGCACGCCAGGCCATGATTGACGAACCAGACATGGCAGAGACGATCCTGAAGTGTGCCGAGAAGGTCTGGATCGACGTGCCTGCGTTGCAGGTCTATAAGCCACGCGACTTCGTCTGGGTCGCGAAGCCAGCGCGCGTCAACGCCTGGGAGACGCTGACTAACTTCCACTTCTCCTTAGGACGCAATCCGAATATTCCAACCGCTACATTACAGCACTCGGTGTTCGATATTGTTTGGTTTGATGGGCATGGGGCCCCGCGTCAATGGCCCCATACCTTTCTAATCAACGTTTTTTCTCAACCCTTCTTTGCTTGGGTTCTTGATTTGAATAGAGCATTGTGGTTTCCACTCCTCCTCCTCCTCCTCCCCCTCCTCCTCCTCCTCCTCCTCTTCCCCTCTCCTCCCTCTCTTCTCTTCCTCCTCTTCCTCATCCCTTCTCTCGTTCCTCCTGCTCGGCTCCCTGTGGGGGTTGCGAACTGTGCCACTGTCGCCAGTTTCGCGGGTTCCTGGGAGGCCCAGCGGAGTCGGTGAGCACGCAGACTCCGTCGAGACCTCGCGGCTCCCCGGGGGGCTGCGAATTGCGGGCCACGCAGACCCCGCCGAGACCTCGCGTCTCCCTGCGCGTCGCCACTTTCGTGGGTTCCTGAGCAGTCCTGATTATAACCGCCGCATGTTTAGAGAGGGTTGGTATCGTCCCTGGGCATTTCCCCCGACACCGGGTGCGGTCTCGTAGCGGTCGCGATATTTTTCCAGTGATTGCGCATAGGACCGCCAGACGCGAGCACGCAGACCGTGCGCCGCGCCCTGCAGAAGGCTGGGGGCCACCAGTCGCGCACTTTCCTTGTGTCGAAAACTGGCAATGAAACACGTGTTAAACAACGTGTTCCGTTGCGCGTGTTCGTCACTCTCCTCCCCGGAGTGAAGGGGGTATCGTTGAAGGTGAGTGCGCTCGGCCCGTGGCCCCCATTGTCAGGTTCAGCGCAGGTCGCGGCCGTTGGTGCTCGCGGCCACTGCTTGTGCGATGGTGAATGGGAGGCGCTTCCACGATGAGTTCGAGAAGTGCCTGGCGGACTACGACGACCACACAGCGGGTGCCGGGGATGTCTTCGAGGCTCTGAAGACCGCCGCGGCCGCCAGCCCGGAGGACGGCCTCTTCTCTGACCGCTTCAACAAGCGGCTGCTGCGGGCGGCCAACCGCAAGGACCTCGCCGACAAGAAACTGACGAAGGCCAAGCGGGTCGTCAAGGCGCGCAAGCACAACCTCAAGCTCAAGGGCCTGCGAGCGAAGGTGGCCACGAGCGGCGCAGGGAAGTACGCCGTCAAGGCGAAGAAGACCGACAAGGTCAAGCTCGGCGCTGTGACGGCCAGGGCGGCGAACAGACTGGCCGCGAAGCGGTTCCAGCTCTCGCTCGCCGGCGCCGTGGGGGCGCTGACCGGCAAGAACGCCCTCCTCTACTTGGAGCAGGCGTTCGCGGACGGCACTGTGCCTGGTGTGCTCACAACCGCCCACACCGTGATGGGCCCCGGGGCGCTGGCCTTCTTCGCCGCCGTGGGCGGCCGCGCCTCGACCAGCACCGGTGCAGCCGCCGTCAAGCAGGCGACGCTGTCGGACGACTGGGACTTCTCCGCGGCGCAGCTCAACCGCCTGCGCCGGCTGCTCGGGAGGGTCAACGGCAAGGGCTGGGGGGCGGCCAAGGAGGCGGTGGCGAGGGCTGCGGAGCGACTCGCGGGGTCGTCCGCTGTGGTGGTGCAACGCCTCGCCTGCGAGCTCTCGAAGCTGGTGCACTTCTCGGCGACGCGCGGGAAGGGCAAGAACTACTGGCGCAGAGCGCTGGAGGCCTTCCGCTGGGTCCCGACCCCCAAGCGCAAGGCGGCTCCCAAGCGCGCGGCGCCCCCCAAGGACCAGGCCTGCTCCGACGAGGAGTGGGAGGACGAGGTAGCCTCGCAGGCGAGCTGCGCTAGCGCCCCCGACCTCGCCGCCCCGGGCCAAGCCAGCGAGCTCTCAGAGGGCGACGACTGAAAATATCATCATCGTCTGTGTCACCTGCAGGAGCCTCTAGGGGACCTTCGCGCCTGGTGGCCTCCTCTGGAAACCGCTGGAGACTTCTCGGTGTGTTCGTCGTCCGAACCAAGGCTCCCGCCCGCCGCCGCGCCTGCTGGGCCCGCTAGGGCCAGCCTTGAATATTTGGGATCGCTTTATGGATTTTGACCGCCCGAGGACCCCGCTTCGTTGTCCGAACTAAGGCTCCCGCCCGCCGCCGCGCATGCGGGGCCCGCCAGGGCCCGCTCGCCCCTCTGGGGAGCGCTCAGGAAATCTCGCAATGCGTTTTCATTTTTCTTCGGGTTGTCTGGCAGGGGCTCCTGGAGGGTTCTGGGAGGACGTTGAGAATTCGCCCCGAAAATTTGAGGTCGCTTTATAGATTTTGGCAGCCCGAGGACCCCTCCGGTGCTCGCCCCCCAGCGGCGCCAGGGGCCCTGGGGCCCGAGAACCGCGCACCG